CACGGCGACGTTCTACGTGACCGCGCACTACTGGGGCGCGTTCTTCGCGGCGACGTGCGGCGCGTTCGTGAGCCGCGAGCTCGGCTACGACGACTACGCGGCGTTCAGCCCCAACTTCAAGAAGCTGCCCTACAAGCACTGGGAGATGCCCCTCTTCTTCCTCCTCGCGGCGTTCGGCGGCCTGCTCGGCGGCCTCTACGTGAAGCTCTTCACGGCGATCGTCGGCGCGCGGCGGTCGTGCGCGGAGGCGCGCGACCGGGAACCCGCCGGCGGCGCGGCCGCGGCGGCGCGGGGCGCCGTCGAGGCCTGCGTCGGGTCGAACCTGGGCTTCTCGGCGCTCGCCGCGGGGCTGTCGGGCGTCGCGGCCGCGGGCGTCGGCGACTTCATGCACCTGGGCACGCGCGAGGTCCTCGACGACCTCTTCAGCGACGGCCCGCTCGCGCGCGCGCGCAACGGCCACATCCACGAGCGGTCCAAGTGGGAGGACCAGGACGGCGGCGTCGTCGGCGCGCTCGTCTACTTCGTGCTCTTCACGTTCGCGTTCTCCGCGGCGTGCGTGGGCCTGCCCGCGTCGAACGGCCTCGTGACGCCGTCGTTCGCCATCGGCGCGGGCGTCGGCCGCCTCTACGGCGAGGTGCTGCGCTTCGCGGCCGCGGCCGCGGGCGCGGCGACGTCGCCGTTCTCGCCCGCGGGCGGCTACGCGATCGTCGGCGCGGCCGCGTTCTCCGTGTCCGTCACGGGCAAGATCTCCATCGGCGTCGTCATCTGCGAGCTCACGGGCCAGCTCTCCTACGCGATCCCCGTGCTCTTCGCGTGCGTGCTCGGGCTGGCGGCGGGGCAGGTCGTCGAGATCGACATCTACTCGATGATCGCGCGGATGAAGCGCCTGCCGCACTGGCCGACGCTCTCCGCGGCGGCGGACTTCGCGCTGACCGTCGACGACGTCTTCGACCGCGACGAACACCTGTCGCGGTCCGCCGTGCCCCTGCGGACGCTGACGTCCGAGGGCGGCGCGGCGAAGCTCGCGCCCGGCGCGCGGCGCCACGTGCTCGAGCGCGCGCTCCGGGCCACGACGCACGGGCTCCTGCCCGTCGTCCTCGACGGCGACAGCGAGGCCTTCGTCGGCGCCGTGCGGGCCGTCGACGTCGACGTCGCGCTCCAACTCGCGGCCGACGACGCGACCGGCGCCGCGGCGAACCGCGGCGCCGCGGCGCCGCTCCTCGACGTCCAGGCGACGTGCGACGTCGACTTCACGTGGCCGCGCGTGAGCCGCTCCGCGAGCCTCAACTACGCCTGCTTCCTCTTCGCGCTCTACCAGTGCGGCCGCGTCTACGTCGTCGACGACCGCGGCGCGCTCGTCGGCTACCTCGACTCGACGCGCGTCGAGGCCGCCGTCGCGGACCGCCGCGGCCGCCGGCGCGACGGCGACGAGGCCCACGCCGCCGCGCCGCTCCCCGCGCGCGCGACGGCGGGCGGGGGCGAGCCGAAGACGCCCACGGGCGGCACGGCGATGGTGTAATCCTGAGGCGCGCGACTGTGCTGTGTATCCGCGCGCCGACATGTCGTGGCCGCCCGCGGCGGCGCTTCTGAGGCGCCAACACGGATCGTGGGCCATGGCCAAGTTCCCGTCGCGGTGCGCGAGGAAGGCGATCGCGATGGCGCGCCACTCGACCGCGGTCGCCGACGCGCGGTCGCAGGCCCCGCCGCCCTCGCCGCCCTCACGACCAACCTCCGCTGCGACGGTGAGTCGGTGGCCTCGCGTCGCCGGCTAGTCGCTTCGCCGAGTACCCCGCGAGCCCCCCCCGCGGATAAGCCCTGCCGTGCGCCGACGCCGCCTCAATCGTCGGGCTTGAACTCAGACTCCGGCATCACCGTCTCGCGCGCGCCGGCGCCGGCTTCGCGCGCGCTCTCGCGCCGTTTTAGGGGTTGCTTCGCGTCGCCCGCCCCCCTCAGAGTACATCGCCCGACGCGCGCCTCGGGGGGTGGCGCCGAAGGTGTTGAGCGCATCGAAGGCGCCCGAAGACGCCGTTGAGGTCGCAAAAGCCCCCTGACGCGCGCCCGCCCACGCGTACCCGCCAAAACGCGACTTACACACCTGCAGCGGCGCGCGCGCGCCTCGGACCCCCCCCGAAAGCGACGGGCGCGCGCGCTCGCGACATCGGCGACGACGTCGATCGGCTCGAACCGCTTCGCCGACGTCGCGCCCATGACCCGGAAACTCCGCCCTCGCAGGTAATCCTTCTCTGATATCTCCAACATGGGCTGGCGCAAGAACTTCTGCTACTGGTTGATCGTTACCGGCGAGGTCCATCGCGTCCGCGCCGCCGTGCGCAAGCACGAACCCGGGTCCGCCGGGCAAGGAGAGGCCAAAGAGCCCAAGAAGCAGATCGGCGCGACGCCGCCCATCTACGACACCTTCGAGAGCGAGCCCGACGTCCTCGAGTGCTGGCGCTACGAGTGCTTGGCCAAGGGCTTCGGCGGCCGTTGCAACTTCTTCGACGGCGGCAAGTGGATCGGCAACACGTGCAAGGACTTCGTCGAGGGCTCGAAGAAGCCATCCTACCTCGACATCCTCAACCGCGTCGTCGCGTCGTTCTCGTTCGAGGACATCGGTTCTCTGAGCTCGCAAGTCGAGGAGGCCGCGCCGCCGGCCATCAAGAACCTCTTCCTCTGGCTCAAGGACCAGCTCCCGTCGACGACCGAGGCGCTGCGCGCCGACAACGAGGACCTGCGGTCCAAGAACCAGGACCTGCGCGAGCGCCTCGCGGCGGCGGAGGCGAGCCTCGAGCTCGCGACGTCGTCGCTCGCCGCCAAGGCCACGAAGTTCGTCAAGAACCTCTTCTTCTTCAAGGAGTCGCCGACGGCGAAGGACGCCGCGCCGGTTCCCGAGGACAAGGACCCGCGCGCGCAGAACAAGGACCTGCGCGCCGAGAACGAGGACCTGCGCGAGCGCCTCGCGGCGGCGGAGGCGAGCCTCGAGCTCGCGACGTCGGCGGAGTCGCCCGCCAAGGCCTTGGTCAAGAGCCTCTTCTTCAAGGAGTCGTCGACGGCCGCATCCAAGAGCGAGGAGCTCCTGCGCGAGCAGCTCGCGGCAGCGGAGTCGCGCGCGGCGGCGGCTGAAGCGGGCCTCGCGGCGTCGACGACCCAAGTCAAGGAGTCCGCGCTGGAGAACAAGGACCTGCGCGAGCAGCTCGCGGCGGCGGAGTCGCGCGCGGCGGCGGCTGAAGCGGGCCTCGCGGCG